TACGAGCCCTAAAGGTGCAGCAAGAGACCTCCCCCTACACAAGCCTGTTTTGACATAGCAGAAACAAAATCCACAGGCTTACTGGACAGCAAAGGGACCAGCTCTGTGGTAAATAGGATAAATGCCACCCTGGGAGACCAAAGAGCCATTTCCAGACTAGACCTTTTGCTATCTAGCTATATAGCTAGGGAAAAGTGGCTATAAAATGGACATTGTATTGAGCATACACAACCAGTCGACTGAGCATTGGGTACACAGAATGATATATGTCGTATCTCTATCATTACCATGTTAGAGGAGATTTGGGGACTAGACCTCCTCAAATGTGCATTTCTCTGTCATATTAATGAATTTGTGTTCTGTGTTCATGTTAAGGAGCCATCATGCTAAGGAGACTTAAGGTACTTTGGAAGGTTCACTATGATCATCCAAAGCTCTTGACCCTCTAGAGAGCCACAAGAGTCTGTCAGTGAGTTTGTCTGCCGTGTTATATCATGCCTAACTTAAGGAGTTGCTCTTGATGCTATCTGTGCAGAGGCGAGTTTCTGCACATGGAACTCAGTGGTGGACACTTACTAAATATTATCCTAATGCACACTTGGGCTGTGTATAGTCTAATGATACACTAGCCCTGAGCCTTTCATGTTAATTACTTTCTCTTGAAGATGTCAGGCAAAACTGCCCTTTGATCAGAAAATTCCATTCACTCTTGCTGAAAATTCCTTTGACCTCTCCGTATTCCCAGCTCACTTGGTCTGCTGATTATCATGCAATGGGTCTTCAAGTCAGCACTACGTAGTCTTTATTTTTCCACATCATCCTTCGCTCCCTTGGGTGTCACTGATTTTTCACGTATCTAAGGCCGCTCCCATGGAATTCAGTACAAGTCTCCTCTTACAGGAGATGCGTGCAAAGTAACAGATAACAGAGCAAAGCAGTTCCTTCTGTTTATCCTTTCACAGGAAATTATTTTCAGCCTGTGAATCAAAAAGAACACTTTAATGTTCTTTCTTCTCCAGCCCACCTTGTCACCTCCAGCCCACCCCTTCTGAAGTGACGACAGTCTTGCCATCTGGTCTTGTTAACCCTTGGCTGAAAAAGCAAATTTTTCTAAGAGATTGATGCTTTAAGTGTGAATTTGGAGGGCTGCCTTCAGAGCCTGACAGGAATAAATAAAAAGACAAATTGTAGGTCTTTGGTTGTCACAGCAGGGACTCCTATCCTGCCATCAGCTTTCTTGTCCTCAAATGTGCAGAACTGCCTGAAAGATCAAGGTAATTGAAAAACAGGCATAAACCTCTCTGGTTCCTCTGATATTGATGGAGATTGCCTCCTACTGAGGTTGCTTTGTGGCTTAATGCTCTGAACGAGAAACAGGTCATTCGTTTCAAATGCAAGTATTGAATACACTATAACTAGTCTATCAGGGAAATCTCAGGGGATTAGTAGGTAGCAGAACTGAGTGGTTGCTCAGTTTTTCCAATCCCATCCTAAGAATGGCCCAAACTCTCACCCAACTGTCATGTATATCTAAAAAGAACAAATAAAACAAATTTTAAAATGAAATAAATTTTTCAAAAAGATTTTATTATTTTTTTTAAAAAAAAACGCATGCTCAAACTCACTCCCCTCACTCTCTCTCTTCCCTCTCCACTCTCTTCCCTCCTCTGCTCTCCTCTTTTTTCTCCTCCCTTCTTTGTCCACCCCTTCCTACCTGAAGAGAGAAAGAGAAGTTGTAGATACACCTGAGCATTTACTTCCTTTTGTACCAAACTGTGCAGCATCTTAGTTTACCTTGAAGTTTATGGTGACCATCTACATTAGTTATTATGCTGGTCTCACAAATAATGCAAATGCCTATGGTGGGTCCTCTGGATTGTTTCCCAAAGATCCATGTGCTACAGGCTTTGTTCTCAGGGTGGCACTATTGATAAGTGCTGTGGATCTGTAGAAAGTGAGGCCCAGTGGGAGGCCCTTAGTTCATCAGGACATCCCCTCAAAGCCGAATCTAGGATCCCAGCCTATTCTTTTTTACTGTTTCTTGGCTCTCGAAGCAAGTAGTTTTGCTCTTCCACAAACTCCCGCCATGATGTTCCACCCTCAGAGGAGGCCCAATTCCATGTAGTCACTCAATTTTAGCCTAGAGCCAAAATAAAACTTTTCTCTTTATAAGTTGATTGCCTCAGGTATTTCATTATAGTAATGGGAGATGACTAATATAGTGGCTTGGCATACATGTGAATATGTGGGCAAAAGAAATGTGGGTTGAAATGGAAAGGAAATATAGAGCAAATGATAATCCATGGAGCCCAAATATATTATTAATACACATCTTAGCCAAAAGGAAAAGTGATTAATGATTTGTGTGTGGGCACATAATAAGCTGTTTCAGTAAATACTGAGTAAAGCAGCTGCCTAGCAACTTCAAGCATGTACTCAACCATCAGACGATCTCACTGGTCTCCTATGAAGCTGAGATTAGCCACAATCTGCCCAGTCAAGGGGGAAGACTTCAACTGAGTTAGCCAGTTACCTAAAGCAAGATAACCCAGCGTTCAGCAGTCATTTTTCAGGTATTCCTCCTTGCCACTCCATACCTCACCTGGATATCAAGAACCCTCCCTCTGTTTCAAGGTAATTTCAAGGTAGTGATGGGGAGGGAAGTTACCTGTAGTTTGGATGGGGCTCACTAAACTTCAGGGCTTTGATAAGCAGAACTTCTGTTGTTGTTCAGTTGTTGGGAAATGTGTGAGATGTCACAGGAAGGCACTCCCCAGTGCTACTGGGAGATCTTTAAGGCAGCCTGTCTGTCCAGGTAACTTATAGTGTCCACATAAATGGTGATAGAGGCATGTCTGTAGGATGTGCCTGGGTTCCCATGAAGCACCCTGAAACTAGGGATGGTAAATGCACCAATATCCTCCTCTCCCTCCGTTCTCCCTTGGGTCCGGATGACTATCTCAGCAGGCTTTCAGCCTTTTCAACCACCTCCCATCCTAGTTCACGGGACCTCAGTCGGTCTGAGACAGAGAACATGTAGGCAGAGGAGATTCTCACATACCTTCTACTCTCTTTGCAATGAACTTTCATGACATAAATAATCCCCCAGGATTTCCTCACATCCTTCTCTTTAGGTGTTGAAGAACTTAAATTGGAAACTTCAAAACATTTGTAATGACTCCGCGTTGAAAATGACCTTCTCCTTGCAGATCTGCTGCAGTAATCCCTAACACTCGCTAGGAAATTGTGTCTGAACCTCCACGATTTGAGGGAAAGGTCAGCAGATGTAATGTAAGAATGTTCCAAAGAGAAAAAGAGGCACAAAATTTACTTCTTCAAAAGAATATCTCTTTACAACTACATTCACTGTTTTCCTCCTTATCCAGTGATTTCTCATTTCTTTAGTTCTTCAGAAACTCTGTTAAAACTTCTTTCTGAAATCTCACAATTGTTAAGTCTGCTACCAGTTGAGTATGCTTTATCCAAAATGCTAAGGCACAGAATAGTTTCCAATTTATTTTTTTTTTATTTTAGAAGATTTGCATATGATAGTGAGATATTTGGGGGATAAGGCCCAATCCTAAGTACAAAATTTATTAACAATTCACCTACAATTTATGCACATAGACTGAAAATGATTTTATACAATAATTTTTTTGCACCTACATTGTGACTGTGACCTGTCACTTGAGGTCAGATGTGAAATTTTCCACTTGTAGCATCATTTCAGAAAATTTCAGATTTGGGAACATTTCAGATTTTGGCTTTTCAGATTAGGGATGCTCAATCAGTAATTTCTTTATTTCAGATCCTAATCTCTGATAGCATTTGATAATACTGACCATATCCTCCATGTTAATTAGACATTGGAGGAGGTGATACATAATTAGTAGAAATCTAACTCTATTCTGACTTAAGTTGATAGGAGAAATTATTGGAAGGATACTGAGATAGCTGCTCTCAAATGTTTTCCTTGATCAGTACTTCATCATGGAGTTTAAATTCAGGCCTGGCATTTTCAAATCTATCCCTTACTCAGGAAAGAAAATAACCTCAAAAAATCTCTGACACCTGCAGTTGACCTGTCTACATATTATTGATTTCAGTCAATTGAAACTTACCACCTTATAATGTCTACCTATGACATCTGCATCTTCCCTCAAGAGATGCCTTGGTATAAAAAGCTACATCTGGATCAAACATAAAACTTCAGGCAAGAACCAAAAAAACCATATTTTCATTCCTCATGAAAATATTCTCCTAATCAAACATTATACAGATCAAAAAAAATCTCCTTTAATGAGTTCTTAATCCTTAATAATTTTCATTAAAGTTTTTTTGAAATGTATTTATCAGCAGTAGAAAAACACGGACACAGTATTTGTATATGAAAACATTTTAAATTCTACTTCTTCCCACTCATTTTACCTCCCACATCTGCTTTTTCTGTTTTGATTTTAAAAAATGGGTAAGAAATAAATAGAAGACCAATGCTTCAAATTGCATACCTTTGTAAAAAATGTAGGAGTGTATCCACATTAGGGGAGACTATTCTCTATTATGCATCAGTCAGTAACTCAGACATGAACTGATACTTCCTTCAAAAACAGGGTGGAGATTGATTGCAGGTCTTGTTTTTCACACATACTAAAAAAAAAAAAAAAATGCCCCCAGGAAAAGACTGAATCATATTTGTTCTCAGACAAGAAAGCAGAAGGGGCCCTGTGACCACAGCATGATGAATTCCGTGCTGACATTTAAATGGTTCAATCTCCTGACAAGAATAGGAATCCCCACATGTGGCGGGGACTCAACAGGGTGAAGCGTGACATTACAACTCAAGATGGAAATAATTGTATCTGTCTTTTTTCATTCGAGGTCCTTTTTGTATTTGAGTTCATTGAGGAAAGCCAACCTCTCTAATCAGGAAATGGTGTTCTGTTTTCCTAATCGATTCATAAAATGTGTTCTGGCCCATGGGCTGGGTCAGTCATACTTAATAGAATCACAGGGGATGGATGGAACATGCAAGTGTCTCTAGTCTAACCCTCTAATTTTACAGACAAAAATAGTCCAGAGAATTTTCCCAAAAACACACAGCTAGCTCCTATAATGGCTCATTAATATTCTTCATCCTGTCCTTTTAAAAAGAAATAGGGGTGGGGGAGAGTATCTGGATTCAGATTTGGGACACAAAGGGTTTGTTTACACAGGTGGCTGCAAGTGGCTGTGGAACATGTACACTGGAGAGGAAGGAGAAAGAAAGAATGTGTCTTGTGCTAGAAAAGTTGTCAAAGTGCCCAGGTGTGCAGATGTTCTCACTAAGCCCCAGTTGCCTGCTGGATTCCCCGCAAGCTGATTGATGTCCCCAGAGCCTACTGGGTTTCGGCAGCACAGGGCTTCATGCTGGTGACAGAGATGCTCTGCCCTCTGCATCTCAGGACGCCCGCCTCACACTCTGACATTGTCAGCTCCTTGCCGCTCACTTCCACACAGACCCTGAACCCTTCTTCCTGGCACTCCGATGCTTCTCGGCAGACACATTTGCCACTACTGCCTGGAAAGATAAATGAGAGAGGTTTAATGGCAGGCACACTGTGGAGGTGGGAGAATCAAAGTACGTTCCTCCAAAGTAATGGTGACTAGAGAGCTCCTGCCTTGAGGGGTACAATAAACTATCTCCTGGAAGAACAGTAGGATCAGGAAATTGAGGCATTTTGCTCCACTCAGAATAAATGGGTTTTGAAGTTGATGCCAGGCTTTCTATTGGTTGGACCCACATGAGGCAGCTCTATCCAAGTCAAGAGCTCTCCAGCTCTCTCTTCACACACTTCGCCATCCATGTGAGCCAGCAGACAAATGCAATCCTTCATTCACTGCCCACCCCCCAACCAAATGACCTCAGCAAAGAGCAGAGTCGGGGCTCAGATAGGAGAGAAGAGAATTAAATGGCATGGCACACAAAAGGTTATCTATCCTATAAAATACACATAGAGAGAAATGAATTAGGAGGAAAGGAGTCTATATGGGAAAGGGGTGTGAGGGAATGTCCCAGTCAGGCGTCTCCAGAAGGAGAGTAGAAAGGTCAGCCAGTGGATGGTGGTGACAGCCAAACCCAAAATGACCTAGTCATGGCTACAGTTACATAAGTCATCATCTATGCTGAAAAACTAGGAGGGAGTGAGGGGAGAGGTGTCCAATGTGTGCGGTCTGGGACTAGGAGGGAACAAAGAGCTATAGAGATCTTATGCAGTCCAGCTCCCAAATTTATAGAAACAGAAAGCTGGGACAAAGACTTAGTTCCATTCACCCAAGCCTTCCTTTTTCACAATACTCCCCAAACCGAGGTGGGTGGTGGTGCGCCATGCCCTTGGTAGTATCCAAGATCATTGAAAGTGCTACATGGACATAACCTCAGCAAATATTGAATCGCAATTCAAGAAAGTAATTTCTTTTTCTATTCTCTTCAAATCCTTCTGATTACCTCTAGAAGAAAGTGTCAACTTGGTGCCAGTATGTTTTTAACATCCTTCTAACACTTGCTAGACTCCCTTATCACAAAGAGAGAACATTATCAATACCAGAGCAGAATGTAGCCAGAATCTACAATTTTATTTTGGTCAACCATTTGTATTTTTATAGTTACCAAATATTTATGGTAAATGATACTTCCTCTTAAGGATGTAATTTATAAAAATTTCTATTTTAAAAAATAAATTTTTATGTAAGTGCTTTTAAAAATAAGACATAATATGGATAATATAAGGCAGAGAAAAAGTCATGAAAGTGGAATGGGAATCACCAAGATTTGGAAGAATTTTAGACCATCAAGAATAGATTCTTGTCCTCTTAGCTCCCTGATCCAGACAGACCCTTCTTCAGGAAGGGAAGTCAGGTGAGAAGTTCAAGGTCAAACCAGTCTGAATCCTTGATATCCTCAGGTATCTACTTTGATCCACTTCTAAACTAGAAACCATGTTGTTTAAAAGCTCAGTATTATTACTTTACACCCCCCTCTTTTTTTTTTTTTTTGTATTTGTAGATGGACAGCATGCTTTCATTTTGTTTGTTTATTTTTTTATGTAGTGCTAAGTATCAAACCCAATGCTTCACACATGGTAGGCAAGTGCTCTGCCACGGAGGTACATCCCTATCCCTACTTTAGCCTTCCTATGTTACAAATACAAAATGCTCCTTACCATCACATTTTTCCCACAATGGACATGCACCACAAGCTTTCTTGGCTGAGGCAGGCAGAGTACAGCGGTCCCTACCAGTAAGAGTGTAATTTCTACCCTGACAGTGAAGAACATGCAACTTGCAAACTGTCAGAGGCAGTATCCTTTGGCTTCTCTCGTCTCGAGCACATACATCCAAGGAAGATCTGAAAAGAATTTTTGACTACATTATTTACAAGATTTTTGTTTTTAAAAGCTGAGGAAAAGAAGTAAAAAAAAAAAAAAAGTAGACCTTTGAGGTCATTACCCCACAGGTTATCACCCACAGCAAAAGATGAAACATCAAATCAAATTCTTTTCATTGGGGCGCAACCCCCTCAGAGCTTCAAAATGAGCATATTTACTCTAAGCATTCACAATCCTTCCAAGCATAGATACTGTGGGTTGATTTATTTTCAGCTAGGACAGATCAGATATAGCAAATTAGATGAGAAGGTGAGTTATGCCAGCAACTGTCAATGAATTAATAATAAAGGAGACAGAAAATCAGCAAAGATCACTCAGAGAGATTATAGTCAAATGAAACCATTGACCACAGGAGACATTAACTCCTCCCAGCCCAGCAGCCCAGAGAGTTCATGTTCATAATACAGCGTGTCTAATAATTAATAACCCTGAATCATCAAGGGAAGATAAAACTGTATTTTACAATGCTATTTTCTAAAGTGTCTACGTTTACAAAGTGCTTTAGAAATATTTCATAAAGTGTGCTACCTTTTTTCTTGAACATTGGAGCTAAAATGGTTAAGAGACAGCTATTTAGAAATGTCACCAATGAAAACAACTACATTTCTAAATACTGACAGATAGATAAGAAAAGCATTATTTTTTGAAAACTCAGATAACAAAACATTTTTCATATACCATATGGGCTCAGAAAAACTTTACATTCACATATTTTATTTAGCTCTGATATTTTCTTCTTTTTTTTTTTACCTAAAGCTCAATTTATTTAAAGTTGCTTATATAACAAAAACTTTTTGTTTTGTATATAACTTTTCTCTCTGTTTATTTTAACTTTAAATAGAACTACTCAGAACAGCTAAAAGGGCAGAGACCTTATAATGCCACCTTGTTATCAGTATCTGATACTGTGAAATGATACAAAAATTCATATCAAGTCTATAAATGGCTGGCTGCTGGTTAACTAAAGGAACCAGTAGAATTGGAAAGAGAAGGAAAGTGATTAACGGAGAGTAATTAATAACAATTAACAGAGAGTAACAGCAAGAGTCAGAATGTATCTGGGCTGACCACCATTTCCACTTATACATTCAGTTATATTCTTCTGCACCAGAGGTTACTACATGCAATCATTGTATGAATCACCCACAGTAGTTTCAGGAAGTTCTATATGGGTGCTGATGACCATAGTAATTGAAAACCAAGTATTTAGTTGGTAGGTTAGTGTTTCAATTTTTAACCTTAAAGATGGCCCATGAGCTGAGGGGCTAGATATTCCCTGTTTCTTCCTAGACCCTCCACTCTTCCCCCATCTGCCTGGGAGGCTGGCATGTAAAGGTTACACTTCTTTGTCCTCTAGCTTCAATTGGGTTTATTCAATGGAGAGCCCTGGTATAGGCAGGGAAGAAAGTGAGTTCAGCTGGGGTATTTATTCCACTGGCTCACTCCTGTAAGATCTCCTAAGGTCTCTTAAAAGAGAGTCAGCTTCTCCTCTGCAGCCATCTCACCTAGTTCTCTCGGTCTCCAGGTTTCATAAGTGCTCCCCTCCACATGCCTTGTCAGGCCTGGAGTGGACACATGGCCAAGCTTTACCAGTCCAGGAGTACTGCCCTGTGGCTTCTAGTTTCCTTTACTCTGCCCACAATTTTGTAAATCAACCTGCTAATAAACCTCTTCTGGTCCTAATCTAATTGTGCTGTCCAAATCTTACTAGGACCCTGACACAGGCATCTAACAACCTCTAACTAACAACTGCAGATGCCCTGGGACAACAGCATGATTTCAAGCTGGCAGCATTCTTCTAATGCAAGTCTAGAAAGCAAGCTTCAAGAATCAGAAAAGTAGCTGCTCTTCCTCCATCAGTATTGCTTTAAATTTTATATCCCTGGGGAATTTCAGCCTAATCATCTAAAGCTCTAAATCCTCAGGTGACAGTTTTGTCCTTTCACTCGATTCTATGTATAGAGCAAGCCGTGCTCAAATAGTCCTTCAGCCTTTCTCAACCAGCCAGATTAGAAAACTGCTTAACACCATAGCTGTCAGTCTGGTGACCCTGGTGAGTACCAGGCAGCAGAGGACCGGATTAAAATGCAAACAAACACAAACATCCTTAACCCTTAGTAAACTGCACCTTCAATACACAGACAATAACACCTCAGAGATCACCTCATTTGTCTTGGGTAAAATAAAACAGAAGGACAGAGCTTACCCACATTCATAGGGCATTTTACAAACACATCTTGAATTCTGCAGTTTCTCCCAGCGCTGACATTTAGGCACTGCCTGTGTTAAAGGGGTGTCTGAAAGAAAAAAACATAAGGGAGATGAAATTATCAGGGAAGAAGAGCATCTTCATAGTAAGCAAGGTTTTTTTTATTATTGTTGTTGTTGAACTAGAGTCTGTACTATTCTCAGCTGCAAAGGGGTTCTATGGTAAGCACTAATAATAAAACTATAGAGCATTTTACAAGGGGAATGCTCTACAAATAATTACATTGGTGATAATCGCTACCTTTTCTTGAGCATTTACACTGGTCATGCACTTTTTAATACATTGTGATATTTAATCCTTCCTAACAACAGTGAGTGAATGTTT